GCTCAAGTGGTAGAGCGCTCGCCTTGAGCTGAAGAGCTGAGGGACAGCGCCCAGGCCCAGAGTTCAAGCCCCACGACCGACAAAAAAAAAAAGTCACTGCCTTGGGGGTGTAGTTCTATAAGACAACTTTCTTAGCAAGCTCAAGGTATGGAGTTCAACAACCAGCACCAGAAGAAAACCCATGCCATGTATCCCATACCATACATTCAGTTATGACAATAGACTTAAACAATCAGCAGTTAAAAACTGAAAAGGAAAGGAATGCACATATCACCCAAAGTGGAAGAAATAACTGTATTGTCAAACCTCATAGAACTCATAAAGATTATAGACCACGATAAAGACAATTTGCCCCATAGGGAAAAAAAAACTCAATGATCACCAAGCACTGTAATCCTAGCTATTCAGGAGGCTAAGATCTAACAACAGTAGTTCAAAGCCAACTCAGGCAGTAAAGTCCATGAGACTCTTATCTCCAATTGACTGTCAAAAAAGCTGGAAGTGAAGCTGTGGCTCAAGTGGTAGAGCACCAGCCTTGAGCAAAAGAGCTCGGGGACAGTGCCCCTGCCCATGCTCTGAGTTCAAGCTAACAACAAGCACCAAAATTTTAAAAGCTGGCGATCTTTATAAATGATAATCTTTTATTGATAAGTTTGCAAATGACACAATTAAAAAGAAACAAGGAGGATCAATAAACATTTTAAAATACTCAACTACAATACTAATCATAAGTGCTAGCTTAAGATGAAATTCTTTTTTTTGGGGGGGTGGGGGGGTCCAGTCGTGGGGCCTGTTACTCTGGGTCTGGGCACTGTCCCTGTGCTCTTCAGCTCAAGGCTAGTGCTCTACCACATGAGCCACAGCGCCACTTCCGGCTTTTTTTTCTTTTTGCTTATGTGGTGCTAAGGAATCGAACCCAGGACCTCAGGCATGCAAGGCAAGCGCTCTACCACTGAGCCACCTTCTTAGCCCCAAGATGAAATTCTATAGTTCACTAATCAGATGAAAACAATACCCAGTACTGAGAGAAAAGTATACACAGAAGAATAGACACTGGAAATTCTTCTGAAAAGGCAATGTGACCAACAACCCATATCAAGACTTGAGTTCAAATCCTTCAGTACAGTCCTTCCACTTAGTAGGTACATACACCAATAATACCCAAGATTTCAGACAAAGAATTCTAACCCAGAGTATTTGGTGTATAATTTCCAATAACTGGAAGTTGCCTGTCCACAACAGGAAACTGCTCAAAGTGACAAACTGTAAAGAAGTTAATTCTATGCAGCCATTACAAACATCAAAGTCCCCAAAGATTTTTTTTAATGACATGAGAAAAGTTCACAAGATTGTAAGTAAAAAACAAAACAGGACATGATCATAATTTTATGTCTATACAAATATGTAAAAATTAGATTAGTAGTGAAGCTAGAGGCCATTTTAATTAGATTTTTCTTTGACTTTTCTTCCTTCTACTTTTCTAAATGCTCTAAATTTTCTGTAATGAACATGTATGCCATTAACAATCAGGAAAATATAACTTTAAAAATATCTAGAGCTGAGGGTGTAGTTCTGTGGCAGAGTGCTGATCTAGTATTGGGAGACCCTGGGTTTCGGCCCCAGCACCAATAAATAAATAAACAAGAATTTTTCTTAATAGCTAAAGTGTACCACAATGACACAGACCGATGACACTGTGGGGGTCACTCTTTACCTTCTAACATCTATACTGAACAAGAGAATACTCTTTCAACTCTAGTATGCAGACACTTCCAGAAGTGTCAGCAAGTGGGGGAAGGGGACAGCAAACAACCAAATACCCCATAGTTCAGGGGAGGGCAGATGCTCAATGCCCTAATCTAGTAGCCAAACAGACTCCCAACACTACAGATGTGGCTAAGAGCAAGGAGCATATTAAGATCACTGAACTATGTAGGTGTCATATAATTCCATCTTTCTAAATTTATACAAGAAACAGCAACCCAAAAAAAGAAGAAAGCAGAGACCCAAAGAGAGAAGAAACGGCTCAAAGTTGGGGGAGTCACGCACCTTTGGCACATATCTCTAATCCTAGCTAATCAGGAGACTGAGATGTGAGCATTAAGGGGTTCAAGCCAATGGGGCAGGCAAACCCATGAGATTCTTGTCTACAATCAACAAGTCAAAAGCTGGGCATGAAGGTGTGGCTCAACAGTAGAGCTAGCAGTAGAGGGAAAAGCCAAGTAAAACGTGAGGCCACCGGGTGCCCTTAGGGACAAGCTTTGCCTTCCTCTCACCATTTACATACAATGCGAGGCAGCCAGAGCCCCCTGGCTGTAATGTGCCCACAGAAGAGCCAGAGGAATGAAGGGTCTCCACCCTCCACTGTTCCCCAGTGCTCTAGAGAAGGCAGCACATAAGGAAATTCCAAAACTCAGACCAGCTTCACCTAAATTGCACCCAGACTTCACACCCACTAGACTTTCCTATCTGAAAGCAGAGAGGCAACAAACACATGCGCTTGATTCTGGGGGTGCACAAGGGAGTGACAAAATGTGCTAGCCATATACATTATCATGACAGAAAACAAAACACAACACCACACAAGTGTCTGACCAAAGGAACTAGGGACTGCCTATAATTCTAGCACTTAGGGGGCTAAGGCAGGAAAAACACAAGTTTGAGGCCAGCTTGAGCAACAAGTAAGACTGAATCTCAGAAATAAATAAGCAAGCAAGCAAGCAAAAAAAAAGGTATTTGCCATTGCACATCACTACCATCCCGAACATGCCATTTACCTCCACATTTTTAAACCTAACAAATTAGACTTCTCATTTTGTACACAAAAACAAAGGTTTAGGACCCCTTCTCTTACTTGGCTTTCTTCTCTCACATAAACCACACCTGGAGGAAAATCTCATGGACTTTTCTTCCAGGGCTCGCTTTGAACCGCAATCCTCAGATCTCAGCCTCTTGAGTAGCTAGGATTTTAGGCATGAGCCATCAGCACCTGGCTTCATTTTTTTTTTTAAGTTTTGGTTAAAGTTGGGGGATCACACTAGGTTTCCAGGCTAGCCCAGGGCTCCAAGACTCAGAGATCCTTTTGTCTTAGCCTTCCAAGTAGCTGGGACTGTAGGTCTACACCCCAGTTCCCAGCTGTCCTTGGTTTCATTTTTCAGATTAACTCACGTAGGTTCGCTCAGAAAGGCTGCACAGCTAGCAAGGGGAATGGGACAGTGGCTGACAACAAAGCTCCATTTCTTGGCCAGCCTGCCTTAGCCATTCACATCTTAATGATTGAAACCAAAGTGCTTTTTCCTAGCCACTCCTCACTGCTTTAAATGTCGCTCCCACCCCTTGGTTCCTTGGTTCCCATAGTCTGAGGCCACTACCTTGGTTGAGGTAGGTCAGGGTCTCTTCATGCAGCTTCACGGCCGGGGACGTGGCAGCACACAGCACGTACTGCAGTGGAGGCAGACGGGCCCCGTTCTCCGGGGACAGCTGGGGCTCCTCCTGCTTGAAGATGGGCAGAGCGAGCACATCACTGCAACACACAAGAAGCAACGGTCAGGAGCAGGCCCTAGGAACCCCTGTACAAAGCCAGAGCAGAGCTGGACAAATGGACACAGACCACAGTACAAAGGTGACTGGACAGAGCTTATGACAACAGGCCAGCTTCGCTTCTGACCCTAGAATTACAGGCATGCCACATGCTTCAAACACGGTGAATACTACATCAGGATACTGGCATTGCTCAGGGCCTTCTATCCATCGTGGAGGAGACAAGAAGTCAATGTTACCTCTCACAAATCCTCCAGGTGACACAAGGAACTGCAAGGAAGTGACCTTTAGAATCAACTGGCTTCATCCTCACTACCCTCTCCATCTCCCCTCAGCACAGGGGATGGTACCCAGGGCCTCACTGAAACTTGATTTTAGTATAATAATCTGACAAACTGCTATTTTTTAATCAACTCTTCCACTTACCAACCCCCTTCTCAGACCAGCCTGAAAGCTCAGTAAACTATACAAATGACGAAATCATTAGCTTCACCCACCCAAATGGAGACACCCCTCCATCCTTTTGGACTGTAGGCCTTGTTTTAAGAATCATAGTGACCTCCTCAAATGCAAAAGAAAGAAGAACCTTACTTTCAATCAGTTTCCTAATTCAAATGGAAAATCTGAAATGGCCAATGATTCTTTCAGTCCACCTCTAAATAGAGCTCCCAATGAGTCCTGGTGACACACACTGAGCTACTCAGAAGGCTGAGAACTGAGGATCCAGGTTCGAAGTTAGCCTAGGTAGACACACCCTTGAGACTTACCTACAATTAACCAGCAAAAAACTGGAAGTGGAGGTATAGCTCAATTGGCAAAGGACCTAGCTGGGAGGGGGAAGGGGAAAGCAAGAAAGTCAAGCAAGAACCTGAGGCTCTGAATTCAAGTCCCAGTACAAGTAATAAATAAATAAATCTCCCACAGCAGCCAAAACATCAGCCTTCTGACAGCTAGTGACTAAGGACCTTGTTTCTACATTTTTGGACAAAAGCAATCTGGTCTCACTTTATTGACCAGACTGGAATCAAACTCCTGGAACCCAAGAGATCTTCCTATAGCCTTCCAGGCAGGTAGGATTTCAGAAGAGCACCCTCCAAAAGGACAAGGAAATTCTTGAGAACATGAGCGGTCTACAAGCAGGAGAGATCTCTGTGTGCCACAGAAACAGGTGCCAAAAAAGCGCCATGCCCTATCTTGATAACCCTCCACCCTTCATGGGTTCCAGTTATGAATAAGACCAGCTGACCCCACTTGACCACATAAACAGTCCCAGGTACAATCTGTTCCTTCCACATCATAAACGAGTGTCTATGAAACACAGACCCAGCACACACCCCCAAGACTTCTAATCAATTCTCAGAAGCAAAACTTGGCTTTGGACACACCTGGTCAATCTTTCCTAAGCAAGCTTTCCTGCCACTACTTGCTGCCCAAAGAGGACAGAGGGCACAGAGCTGACCTGACTTTACCTGCACATAGGACACCTTCCTTGTTCCTTTTTCCAGCCTAGGTGGTTATCTAGGAATACAGGGAGAAGCAGGCAGTCCTGCTCACCTGAGAGTTGTATAATTTCATGTTTTCCCAGACCACGTTAAGTTAATAATCCATGTGCTACAGCCTTTAAATTAAAAAAAAAAAGTTAAGACCCATCACTCAACGGTAACTTGTTTTAAGCTTGGCATCCTTATTTGCCAAGAAATAAAAGTCACCAGAACATCAAACACAAAGGAGAATAAGAGGGTAAAGGCCACTATTCTGGTGAGGTCAGACAACTTGCAGAAGTTCTGTGGAGGGTAGAGATGGTCAAAAATAAAAATACAGAAAAACAAAGAGCACTTGCTCAACAATTGAGCACTTTCGGATGCATGAAGCCCAAGTTCATCCCCAGTGCTGCAAAAAAGGAAAAAAGAAAAAGCCAAGCACTAGTGGCATATAATTCTAGCTACTCAGGAGGCTGAGATCTGAGAATCAAGGTTCAAAACCAGCCTGTCAGGAAAGTCAATAAGACTCTTATCTCCAATTAACCACCAAAAAGCCAGATGTAGAACTCTGGCTCAAGTGGCAGAGTGCCAGCGTTGAGCATAAAAAACTAAGGGACATTGCCCAGGCCCTAAGTTCAAGCGCCAGTGCCAACACACACACACACACACACAAACACACACACTCGGAAGAACAATACCTGCTCTCTTTGGTGGGTCACCGGGGGCATATGCTCTGACCTCTGCCTTAGCTTTCACTGTGGTCAAACTACATGAAGGCAAACTCCCAGTTTCAGAGTGGTGAAATTGAAATAGCATGGGATCTGCTTATCCCTGGTTTCCCCCAAGTCATCCCAGAAATTAGGATGGCCTTACAGCCCCCACTCCCTGCACACAATATACCCAAATCCTAAAAGTTAGTATTCCACAAACAAATGTCTATCTCAGCCCCAGATGTGAAGGTTGGACCTCTCAAATGAACAAAAACTCCTCCCTGTCGGAATGACGGCTCAGGTAGCCAGGAAGTTTTACAACACCTTCACCTCAAGGTCACCTTCAGACTCGTTTATAAGATACGACAGGAGGTGCTGGGAAGTTGGCTCAGTGGTAGAGTGCTTGCCTTGCATGCCTGAGGCCCTGGGTTCAATTCCTCAGCACCACATAAGCAAAAAGAAAAAAGCCAGAAGTGGCGCTGTGGCTCAAGTGGTAGAGCACTAGCCTTGAGCTGAAGGGCTGAGGGACAGTGCTCAGGCCCAGAGTTCAGGCCCCACAACCGGACCAAAAAAAAAAAAAAAAGATACGACAGGACACTAAAGAATTAACCAACCAAACCCTAGACAGCAACTCAACTTGTAATGTGCAACCCACTAAAACATCCTGGGTTGAAGCCGTCTCTGTGAGCAGGCTACAGAGATTTAACATGCTCCCCGTGGGCTTGGCCATCCCACAGCAGCAGCCTCCAGCAACAGCCCCCCCGCCCCCGCACCCATCCTCAGACCCAAGGCTTTGGGCATATCCCACCACTCTGAATAAAAGCAGTAAAGTCAAGTCGGCCCTTCCTTCTCAGAGCTGCTTTCTGGAAGGGG